TTCTTTCTAAATACACTGTAGGCGACGTCGTGGTGTTTACGATACTGTACAGAAATATTAGCAGTATTCATCCAACTACTTTTAAAGAACACCAAAAAGAAAGGTAGGTCGCTTAAGCAACCTTTTCAAAAACGAAAGACCATAATCGGCTGATAAGTTAAGGTTAGGGGACTAAAGACTCATTGTGCTAAAGTTTTTGATAAATGACCCAAAATGTCCTCACCAGGTAAGTCCTTCAATATGATACATACTAAAACAACTTTTCTAGTTCAGAAAGTTCTTTCAGATTCTCAATGTAAACCCTTTCTCGACTTTCCACCATTTCTTAAGACAAAGTAATTTACCGAAAAAAAAACTAACGGCTGTCTGATAATGAATATATTTATTTTCATTACATCTTTACATGAAGAGCAGATTTAGCAAAAGCTGCTTATAGGGGGTTCCTGATGAATAAATAAGAAAAAAAGTTAACGCAACAAATCAAAAACATACTTGTCCCAAAAATTTGGTACGACATGAGAAATGGCAGGTAGTCTGTGTTCTAAACTCGTTAAATTTAAGGCAGACTTTATCATTATTGGGAAGCACTTGCCTTTGAAATAATCTAAAGTAATTTATCTGTTTCAGGGAAAATAAAAGTCATCTCGTTTCTGACGTGCTTTCTTGTTCGGTATATTACAAGGGAACTTTAATTGCGAGTAAACCCTTTTCTCCCGTTGAGCTGCAATTCCATATCCAGGTATGTCTGTCATCATTTTCAACACTACACCTTTGCTTACAGAGACCAAAATTTGTGCTTGCGTTTTGTTTCACATGTCATTGAGTAAGTTTGATTGCCAGGTAATAAACGTTAGGGATTGGTTAGAGTCGGAGAAGAACGTATGGTGGGTCGTTAACGAAAAACCCGTTTAGTTTAGATATTTTGTTATATGCTTATCCTGGAAAAACGACAGTAACATTTTTGTTTTACCTTACCATCTGAAATAACATAGAATGGGAGAAGTCTTCACTCACCAATCTGTGTATTCTGGGATCATCGAAACAGGTAGGAATATGGATGCATGTTTAGCAGTAAATAAGTAAGAAGATAGCAGTGGAATGCAAACGTTTTATCTCTTGACGGTGCAGAAAACTCCTGTTACTCGGATTTCCTCTCATCAAATATCAATGGGATGTGCTTTTTTTTTGACGCAGTGCGATCTACGCGAGCTCGGTGTACCAAACGGCTTTTACACGACAAACAATTTATTTGCAGTGCTTGGTCTACAGAAGGTCTGAGGACCGTTCAAGTAAATGGCACCCACGCAAGATGTCATACAACTCATTTCACAAGCTTTGCAATTCTTACCCAGTACACAGAAGTGCAGGTAACTTTGTCAAATATGATGGAATAGTGCTCGACCATTACTATCGAATATACAGCCTCGAGTGAGGTAGGTAACTGTTAGAAGATCTATAAAAGACCTTCATTGGCTATTTATTCAGTTTTAAACAAACGGAATATCACTTTCCGTAGTCCACCAAAGGTCCTTCACTAGTTTCCCGCTCTCCATGCACAACATGGCGGTCTGTTTTAAGTGTCCTTGGCTGAACATAAGAAGCAAGACATCCACAATGGGCACCTCTGCTATATGGCACTAGTATATTTCCTTGAATAACCCGGACCGGCGGATTTCTTGGTGTCCAACGTATACTACACTGATGCTTATTATTAGTTTTAAAATTATCTATACTTAATGGAAATAAACCCGTAAAGCACGGTACAACATAAAGACAATTGAAATCGTGTAATAAAATAAAATAGTTTTCGAATGTGCAAAACCCCTAGTAGCATCTCAAATATTTCTTGTTACGATACAATTGATAGTCAAGGGCCACATACAGATTTTCCTTTCTTAAGCAAGCGGGGCGTTTTAAAAAATCATATTTATCACTTTTATTGAAAGCTACCTTTTTATTATAATGGTTTTGGACATAATCGAGCAAGGAAACATTTCTAGATTTATTCTTTACATTAAAAAAAAGGTTTTTTTTGATTGATGCATTCGTCCTATCACATAATCTGTTCAACCATTTTTTCGCAGATTTCAGATGAGGATCAATTCGCGCTCGGAGTCATAACATATGTTGGTTGCGGAGTCTCCATCGCGTGTCTCTTTGTGACCTTACTGGTTTATCTTGCATTTGAGTGAGTACCTCATCGAACTGTCTTCTGTGAGAATAACAGTTGCCTAAATTGAAAAATGCAGCATCCATAGATTGTTTAACTTGTTTAACTTTGTTTAACCTCTCCCCTTTTGAATCCAGCAGAACTGTCGACACTTACTCTGCATACCCAGGAGAGATGAAATGAGAGTGTTGATCATTTAATTAGCGATGAAATAGCAAGATAATTCTGGATTGGCATCAAGACATTTCTTTTGTTATCAAAGACCAAGTTTATATGTTGAGAAGGATTGTAAATTTGGAGTTTGGGCGTTTGAACGAGCATTCAGAAGGGTAATGCCTTCGGAAATAAAAACGGGAAAACTTGACGTTCGAATCCTTGTATCAGGCAACAGAATTAGTCAGATTCAACCAATTCGACACAAGCTGAATTGTACTTGTTAGCACCTTCTGACCAGACCTTTCATCATTCGGGTAGACTATGGTGTTTGTTTTAGACTCAATTTTAACTCTTTCTCTTTTAGAGCGCTTTCCACTGAAAGACATAAGATTCACATGAACTTAGCCTTGGCTCTTTTGCTGGCTCAGTCGCTGTTCTTGACTGGTGTAAACGCTGTAGGACACAAGGTACCACTAACATCAAGTTCAACATCAGATACCACAGAAATCTGCCATACAAGACAAAGCCTAGTAGATTGAACTGTATTTAGCATATGGTTGAGCAAAAATTCCCTGGCCTACTCAATTCCCCTTAAACGCTGTTTAATGTTTTCTTGACGAAGATACCTGAGGATTCATGTACACTTACGAAGCTTGAACCGTTTTTGATCTTGTAAGTCGTCTTAAACATGGATACCTGTCGAAGAAAAATCGTCCACCCACACTGGCATGGGATACTTTTAAGGATAACGCTCGGGTATAAATTTAGGCAGTTTCACCGGGGTTGATTGTAGGTCAACAATACATTTGATGATTACTTTTAAAATTTTGAACTTTTTCGCAGGAAAAACGCTGAAATTTTATCGATTATCTCCCTAGACTCTTTGCCGCGCACTAGCCGTCTGCCTGCATTACCTGTTTTCAGCAGCATTCACTTGGATGTGTGTAGAAGGTTTTCATCTGTATGTGATGATTCTCTCCGTGTTTCGTGCTGACAGCGTTAGAATGAAATACTACTACATGACTGGCTGGGGTAAGGAAAGGTTTTGGTCTGCTATATTGTTCCAAAATCCATAATTTATTCAATGAAACACCGGTTTTCATCTTCCCTCTGCTTGCTTTGCTAGCACTAGCCATGTAAAAAGGAACTAACTAAAATGACAAGGTGAAATGAATGTGTTTCAATGCATTCGGTAAAATAGTTTTATATAAAATAGTCAGTTGCAATTTAAACTGTTTCAAAAATCGATATGTGAAATCAAAATCAGCAAACCAAACTGATTCTACCATAGAAAGCATAGGATTCTTGAAGGAAAAAAAAGTCCTAAACTAAAAGCTTGTTATTTCTCAGGTATTCCAGTTATCATTGTCGGAGTGGCTGCGTCAATTCACCCTGAAGGATACGGGACAATCAAGTCGTGAGTGTGTGAAGAATTTTTTAATAAAGAAGTGATGGACACTAAGTTTTCAACATCTCAGGAACACGTTAGATGAGAATTGTTACCACAGCATGCATTATTTTGTTACTGTTTTTCAGATGCTGGTTGTCTATTGATGATCAATTTATTTGGGTTTTTCTGGCGCCAGTTGTTTTAGTGATTGTGGTGAGCTGGGATTCTTGTTTCTTAGCAATCAAAGGGGATCTTGAATTTAAAGGAAACAAATTATTTTATTTTACAGATTTTTATATAGTAACACGAAGGAACTTGCAGATCAAAGCTCTTTGAATTTTAAAATCTGCTACCTCGCACGGCAGCGAAAATAATTAAACCTCGAAAGAAAAATCTTTCTATTATTATTTTGTTAATATTAAAATGAACTTTTGGCCCACGAGACCTGTATTAAAACAAATGTATGCAAATAACAGCACTTTAAAACTATTTCACCAGAAAAGATACAACTTGAAAGGCGCAACCATTTGTCTCATCGTGAAACTTTTTTTTGACACTTGCGGTAATGGGGCCATGTTTCCCGAGAGTGTATCTTCTGGCTATGCATAAATTTGAGAAAAAAATTACAGCCGCTCTGTTTCACTATCCCTAGTCCATGTATGAGTTGTTACAATGGTAAAAGAAAATAAATATGTGTTCAGGTTAATTTCTTGGTTCTTGTTGCGGTGATAAAAGTCGTCGCCAATTCCGCGTTACCATCAAGAAAAACCACAGACTTTGGAAGTGTCAAGTAAGTTTCATGGGCTAAAAGGTTTTAAATTACGGGACAAGGGGAAAATAACGAGAATTTTACCTCTTTGTTGTCACCTATTCGCCCTTGCTCTTTGTCTCTCTGTCTTCCCCCACTTTGTTCTCGCGCGAAGCCCTTAAGTTGTTACCATTCGATTAAGTAGTACGATCATCCAAGTGGACATAGTCATCAAGAGCACTGGTTAGGTAATAGTGATTGACGTTTCAACGACCCGAACTGACGCAGTCGTCTGATTCAAATGAAGAGTTGAAAGTCTGACTCGTCAGAACAAATTGTTTAATTTTTGCATGGTGTTACTAGAATATTCTTTCCTTGGAATTCTCTGTTATTGGAGTAAGAAAAGCAAAAATCATTTCTCCTATTCAATTCTTCTCCTGCAGGAGAAAAGTTCCTCAATTATCCATTTACAAGACCTATGAACTGATCGATGTTCGTGTAGTTTCTGACACAAGGTTGGTTTTCTTCTTAGGGCTGGAGTCAAAAGCGCTGCTGTACTATTACCACTGCTTGGAGTATCCTGGGTGTTTGGGCTTCTAACTTTAAACAAAAAAACTATAGTTTTTCAGTACATATTTGCCTTTTCTTCCAGTTTTCAGGTAACGATTCATTTCATAGAAGTAGGTCATGGTTTTTGTCCTCAACTGGTTACAAAGAAAAAGCAACTGAAGCAATTTAATTCTTCCCTACACCCCAGCCCACATAGAAATTAATAGTAAATCGTGTCTTTGCAAAAGGTGTCATTCAACTGGCAAATCTACTAAAAGGACAGGCAGTTCATTCTCTTGCATCCAGATACAAACTTGCCTCTTGACACTGTATCCAAACATGAAAGCTCGCATGAATATTTGTGAAGACATGTGGTGCCAATCGTTTCTCACAGAAATACTATAGCAACGCAAGTTGCACGTGTTACAGTAGTAACATTATTTCTTGACACCTAATACCATACGTCTAAAAAAATCTTTAAAGGGACAACCTTTAAAATGGGTCTCATGTAAGGGATGTAGTCTTTTTTTTTTCAGATACAGTAAAAAAATTTTTCAAAAATTCTTCATGTGCATCATATCCAAGCTGATTAAATAAGCCTGTTGTCAGTAGGAACGGCTGTCACCGAAAATTAAACCTCGCTTTTGCTTTATCAGGGCATGTTCATCTTCTTGGCTCATTGTGTAGGAAGCAGCGATGTAAGAGAGTTATCATTTTGTTTAATAAGTGTCTTTTTGCTTCTTTTGTTAAGCGAAATGAAAATATTAACAATACAAGAACAATAAAGGTAATAATATAAAAAGATAGATTTTTTGCCTGTTAGGTTCGCTCTGCGCTTAAACGGATGAGGCAAAGACAAATGTGGGCTCGTGGGTCAGAGAATGCTCCGTCACACATTCCTTCCGTAAGTCAAATGTAATGGATATCAATATGCACCAAGCAAGAAGAATAAAGTATCCTGGATTTGAAATGCCAGAGAAGTGAAGACATGAAAGAAATCTCTTAGAGCAATATTTCATGGCGTGGCAACCGTTACAAAATGTATTATCAGAGAAAAAATTGTTTGCAACAAAACAAACAAGTTGTTATTGACGCTAGAGACCAGTTCGTTAGTTTGTATCCACAGCACTAGAAGTAATAACTCCAACCTAGAGCGACTTTCGCCATCGGCAACCCTTCATCGTACCTTTTAGTCGTTCACCCCTCTCTCCCCTAGAAATATTCCTAGTTTTACAGTCTTCAGTATCCTTGCATTGACTTAAAAAACGTCATAAAATCTAATATGAACTATTTACATTTGCCACATGTATTTAAAACATAGTTGACATCATCATCATGATTGACCTTTTCTTTGTTTTTTAGAAAGGAAACGTTCCTGTCTCACAAGGAATTATCTCAAAGGGAGGCGTTTTAGAGCATAAGGGTACGTTGTTTTGTGGAGTGGACTTGCTGAAAGAGACTCAGCGATAACCCATACAAAAACAATACAGCACTTTCAAAAAAAAAAAAAGAAATTGGTTTAACGTTTCGTAGAAACGAACGCCGTGAATAAAGTACAGATAAATTAAAAGCTCTAATGGGTAACTTCAAACTTTAACAAAGAATTTATTCAAAACCATACATTAAGATGACATTTACATAAGGAACCTGTCTTTGAGGGTACCAAGCAAGCCGAAATTTCAGAGTGACTCTACGTAATATCTTTTCATGCCCTTTCTTGCAGAAAAGATACGAGCGTCTGTATTCAGCCAAACTAACAGCAAAGTGGTTAAAGTAAAGGTATTTGCATCCGTATTAACATCCCACTTTCCGGTTAAATTATCGGAGATTGGTACTGCTTTACGAGTTTCCACGGTAAAACTAAATTGTGTTATTCTTCATGAGCCTGTAAGGGAAAGAGTATTTGAGAAAAGTTGCCCTTTATTACGGAATTCCCGTGTGATCGACAATTCACCACCAGAACGTCCACGATGTCATGGGTTTAGTACAGGAGAAGCATGAATTCAGTATACGTATACCTCACCTGATGCAATGGATTAGCAACCAGTGAATAACCAGTCCTTCCCTTATACCAGATTCTACTTTTAAAAAAATCACCCGGGGTAAAAATAACAAAAGCGTGATCACCTGTGTGATGTGATTGAATCGTTTCTTCTCTAACCTTTTTTTTTCGTTCCTAGCTACCGAAAGAAAACTTTAAAGAGGCTCCTCTACAAATAAACAGAACTTATCAGATGCCACGAAGAGAAAATCCTGAATCTAAAAATTGTTCAAAAATGACATCTCTTAACTGCCCGCAGGTAGAGTTAATAAAAATCAGGAAAATAGGTATAAGAGGCAATCAACCAAACTGATCTTGAGTCTTGTTCGTGACTCTTTCCAACCTTATTTCAACAAAGCAACCAACAAACTGACAGTGAATGATGCAGCACTAATTTGATACTGATTTGATCTTCACCTCTAATTCTTAGCTTTCCGAATTGTCTCCGTTCACAGGATGCAGTTTCACCCAGAGAATCTACCAAACGAAGATGCTCATTCAAGTCATCCTAATCAGCAAAATATCAGATTTGCCAAAGGGCACCTGATATTTGGCGCCAGCTGTCAAACAAAACTGGCTTGGAAACATTCCAATTAAAAAAGTAGTTATCTGCAAGATAGAACTAGTTCCTCAGACGACAAATTTGCAATTGGAGTACAATCGTGGTTATGGTTATTGGCTAACTTTCTCAAATTGTTCAACATTAAATAAATAAACTTAAATTATTTTCTACCTTTCCTTTCTGTCTTTGTTAAACATAATCAAGTCACTGACTTTATTGACGAAAATAACATTCTCACCTACCTTGTACATAGTAAAGTGAGGGGCAATAACAGCAAAAGTGTTGAGGCTAGATATTCTTATGTGCCTGTTAAGACGCGTGTATGAGGGTCTATAAGGTGAGAACCACCTTAGCTCCAGTCACGACTATAGGACAACCCCTCATATCATTAACGAAAAGTGACCAAAGGGAAGAAACATTGATATAAAGCACAGTGTTTTCATGCCCTTTTCTGTCTCTTGTTGATTGATTTTCATCACTCTTTCTGACTTTCTCTTTCCTTTCTGCTGATCAAAATTCAAACATGAAGAGTGTAGTAATCTCATTATATTTCCAGGACACAAGGGTGAGAATGTCTGTTCTTTTTGTGGTCAGAGATATAGGCGTGACAGAGACCACAATTAAAACACTCGCATCTCACTTTTTTTACCCTCTTGAAACTAAAAAAATATGAAGCAGTCTCTTTATCTAAAAGGTATTCTCTCGCTATCTAAATTATCTATTTTCATTGCGAAATATTCAACCTTGATATTCTTCCACCGATGCCTATTCAAATGGTCTTTCATTACAGATCTCACGAAATCTTGATTGGATAAATCATTTTAATATTCTCACTAAAGCCTACATTAAGTGGCGATCTCTGTAAGAGCGGTCCAGAGCATTTCGCGTCGGAAAGAAGTTTTGCCTCAAACTTTGCCCATTCAACTATATTTGGTAGTAAGTAAATAAAACCTCATTAGTTTCTGGAAATACGTTAAAAAACGTTTTGAGAGCTCTCAATAATTAAAGCTGCAAAAGGCCCTTTTTTGACCTCTTGCGACATCGAAAACTTCAAAAGTTGACAAGCTCACTCCTTGTAACACACTGCATACAACAAGAAATCTTTTGTATTCCTAAATTGTTTGATATCTGAGGGATTTGGAAAGCGTTTCAATTTTAATATGTGTTTATTCAGAGGTTCGCCGTAATTGATTTAAAAACACCTGTCAGACAGCAATGCTGTCAATGCGCGCATTGAAAACTTGCACTGCATCTTGGACCTTTCCTTTCGCTGATCTGCAGTCCTGTATTCTCTACTAGTTTAAAGGGCAAAGTTTGAGGCAAAACTTCTTTCAGAAGCGAAATACCCTGGACCGTTTTTACAGAGATCGCCACTTAAATATCAGAGATGCACAAGAGGAGTTTCAGAGTTAGTTGATTGTTTGAAGAAAACATGGTCCAAGTATGGATGCCAAGCGCCAACGTTTTCCATGGTATTTCCTCTTTTCCTTTCCGCAATCCCTCATTATCATTGACGCAAATGTCCCTTTAAGATGGCTGCACTTAGATGCTACAGTGGAAAACTAATTTGTGATCTTTGCCGACGAATGCATGAATTAGGAAGATTCTTTTTCACTCGGAAGGTAATGAAAGCACTTCATTAGAGGTGAAAATGGAAAACGAAAAATGGGATCAATATCAGTATCTGGGCAACTGCCCACCTACCCTTCCCCTAACCTGACAACAGTCTATTGATAACAAGTTAGGATTAATGTTGGGTTAGGGGAGGGGTAGGTGGGCAGTTTCCCAGATACTGATATTGATCCGAAAAATGTTTGGTGCTTGGTAAACACAGATTCAGTTTAATCGTGGCTAGCCTTTTTGATGTTCATTGACATATGAATGTTAATTCATGAAAAGTCTTATAAAAACATCACGCACATTTTGGACGATGTCTACAGACATGATGTTGAAACATCCACCATATGATTGCAATTATATTTCATGAAAAGCAAAGAAAAAAATTGAGAAATCCTCGATCAAGAGTTTGGAAGCTCGCCGTTGTTAAAATAATATCACAAGCTTAAAATATAGAAAAGTGATTGTCAATACAGGAGTGTGAGCGAGTGCCTCCTCGAAAGTTTCAATTGGTTATTTCTAATTGCATGTTTATTCAGTCTGAAATATTTGAATGTTCTCTGCATCATTTTAATATTCATCAAGGGGCTCTTGAAAAGCTGAACACAAAGGACATTGGTGATTGCAGACAAGAATCATTTGTGTTTTATTCATGATAAATCATCATAATAACCTTTAGCGAACGTCTTGGTTATCTCAAAGCACATGGTACTGAAGAAAACGACACTAATGCCAACACTTGTAAAATTTTATTTGTCATCGCAAGAAAGGTAAGTCTTGGTTTTGTCATCCTTTGGCGATTTCGTTTGTTTATAGTTCAGCCCCCGCTGCTTGAAAACCACATTGCGTCGTACTATGTCGAAAGATTTTACGATGTTAGAATATAGGTAAAAATAATTAATGCTACAATGTCACTTCGAACCAATGTGTGCCTTAAAGTTAAATTAAACCTTGGAGTGACGGTTTTTTTTTCTTCATTTGATTCGAGGGTTTATACCAAACCTATCAACTGCGAATATTCGTTATCAACTGCCTGCTTAGAGGACTAAGGAAAAATTTCTTTTTATTGATACCAATTAAGAAAAACAGTGCAAAACAGTGCATAATCATGCAGTGATAGATTTCTTAATAAAATGGTTCATGCCAAGAATTTTCAGACTATTGTGCCTTTAAGTGTAGACATAAATGCTTAAAATGAAGTGCCATCCAGCAAAAATAATTTTTCGCTGCAGCGAACACATAACTGTTTCAGAAATTTATAATAAATTTAGTGCCTGCCTAAAAAAAGCGTTTCATACACAAATAAATAAATAAGTACCTCCGGCGAAAAAAAGAAAAAAAAAATTTGTTTCCAGTGTCCTTATGATTACTACACATGAAAAACCGGTCTTTTGCAATGAGAATTAGATATAACAAAATACACAAACATACTCAATATCCAATATTGCACTCTTTATACCCTCATAAAAATTAAGTTTTTGTCCCATAACTCTATGGCCGGAACGTAACTACACTTGTATTTTTAGTGTCTGCATATTAAGCTAAATAGAGAGCTATATTCCGGTTGTTCGCCCTCACTTTTGCTTTAAGATCGAATATATATATATATATATATATATATTCGATCTTAATGTTGGGAATCATTTAGTCCCGTTGTGTTTTATCGCCCAAGTAGAGATAAATTTAAAGGCTCTGTAATTTAAGTGCTCTGTAATTTCCTAAGAAAAAGCTAGTTGAAAAGCTCAATTTGTTGCCTCATGGAAGACATGCACTTGATATGCTAAATCAATTTATAGAAGTCTGTTTGACATTAACGTTCTATTTCATATTCATAAGGACTGACCGCGCTCTCATTTTGTTAGATTAGAAGGTTAGGTCTTACAAACCAGACTGTATCCCGTCTTCTCCTCCTCCTACAAGTTATGCCAGTCTATCCAAGATGATCGCCTTAAGCAATTTGCCCTATTTAAGAGTAGACGCCTAGCACCTTTGAAATCGAGAGCCCATTTAGCTTAAAAGGTTTCGTTCAAAATTTATGCATTCACTAAACTTGATTACACCAATTGTGTGTCATAATGAAAGAAAGCCCGCTTGGTTTCACTAATTTGAGAAGAGGGCTTCAAGATCTATCAAATTTGCGCTTTCAAATCCATTAGCATGTATAAACACACGACATTTGTTCTTCATAAGCTGTTTGCAATCCGCAGAAAGATCCAGACGGTATTTGCCCTCACTCCAAACTTCTTAATGCGGAGACTTAAGTGGTTTAAGATCTCTAGACGATGATTCATCTTAGAGAATATAAATTCTACTAACCGTGCGGAATAAGCAAAAAGCGACGAATGGTGTAAGGAGAGATTTGCCATCGGTGAACCAATTTTTAGTTGTTAAGGATACATCAAGCGGGCTTAAGAATAAAAGAATGCAAACAATTGAAGAAGGTTAACCCTTGAGCGAAGCAAGCATTCTGGTTGGAAGTGTCATATTAATTTAGCTCTTGTGTTACTGTACGTAAACGTTTCAACACGTTTAGAAAGGTTTGTTTGACAGCAATTATCTTCTAAGAATTTAAAAAGCTGTAAGGCTGTGATGTATTATTTCTGGTTTTCCTGCAGATTATGACTAATCGTCGTCTACTTTAAGTAAAATAATTCACGGAAAAGAAAACGCCACAAGCTCCCATGAATGCAACATCGAGCTCCATGTTGAAATTAGTAAAATGGACAACTGCTTTAAAATAAAACAAAAGCAGTCGTACTTTCTACTAAATTTTCCAAACCTTAATTACTAGAATATCACTCTTGTTTTACTAAAAAAAAAGCCAAAACGAAAACAGCAAAACAAAAATAAAACAAAAATTTCGAGTATTATTTTTTGTAATAGGTTTTGCTCATATAACTCTTGAGAACATATTAGTTTCACCTGCTCAATTTAAATGTTATATCACTTTTCTTGAACCGCATCATTTGCTTTTTAGATGAAAGATGGCGTCTACTGAGGCATGTTTCGGCTGCAAATATCATAAACTTCAATAAATAGCTTACTCTCAAGGTCTCGTATCTTTCATTCATACAATAATCATTGATAAATTCAGGACTTTGACAAACGTAACTATGATTTTACCGAGCATACAAAACGCCAGTGTATTCAGGTACGTTTCATTAACAGCCCCCTTATTGTCTTGAGAGTTTTATTTACAATAAAGAGATGATAATGAGGAGAAGTGGAAAACATGGAACCACTTCCAAGCAGGTTCTTTTAAAATTGAATATTACACCCAACGCTTCAAACAAAAGGTGGAACACTTAGTGCCGTTAATCAAGGCCATATTAACAAGACCAAGTTACTCTTGTATTTTCTTCTAGTTTGAAAATATTCAACACTGCTTTTTCTGAGGAAGAATGGTGAAGAAATCCAGATAACCAGCAGAAGGTAGATCTTCCTCTCTTATGAGATGATTATACGAGGGTCTCAATGGGGTTAAACGTTAACTGTAAAACTGCTAACTTTTTAACTGTAAAACTGCTAAAACATTTAACTGTTAGGCATAAAAA